AAAAATGTGTTCTGCACTATCTTTAAAATATTAATTTCTTAATTTTGGGTTGGAAAAGTGGGGGTTGTCTTGTACATGGGGGCGTCTTATTGTCGGAAAAATACGGTAATCACATAAGATAGAAACAGAATTGCACTGAGCATCAGGAGTTCTATGGCCATAATTTCTGAAGAAGAAATCTCCCAATATATGTCATCAGCACTTTTAGAAAAGAAAAAAGGCAACCCTATGTTCGACTGTACAGATGACAAACTATTCTTCCAAAGAGCTGAATGTGTAATACTGTTACCTGAGTGACTTCAGTAACAAGTGCCCCTGCACCAGTGTAATAAAATGGGTAAAGAATAGCAGGCAGGAAGAAGAGAACTACAAGACTTCCAACACCAAGCACAAAGTTATGCCAGACACCTGCAAAAGCAGAAAAACGAAACACTTAATGTCTACCCATACAAGAATAGGCTAAATAGAATCTTAATATGTAGAACTAATGTTTTAATTTCACTACAATAGCAACTTACGTAATATAAATCTCATAAATTCTGCTTCAGGACTGAAGCTAATATTAAGATTTTGAAAATGAAGTGTTTAAATGTAACAAGAACGATACCTGTGAATACTTCGAGATAACGATAACAGAGCCCTTGATTTAAAAAATGCATAGGACAGTCATAAAAACATGACTGGGAATTACTCCGACCTTCAACACAAAGGATGAACACAGCTATGACAATAATAAAAATGATGAACTATCCTGAGAAGTGTTTCTGAATGAATACGAAATAGAACAATCTGAGTGATCCAGGAAAAGTAATTCAGAACATACTTTTTAAAAATGAATATTGAGGAATAACAATAAAGTTATGCTTCCTTTATTCTGGATATTATAAATATACGTTCAACTACAATCCATTTAATATAATCTGATATTTGGAATTAAATCCCACTGGCAGTTATTTACTATTATAGCCAAGAATGTGAGCTGGAAAATTCAGTTCATAGCTTGAGCTGCTCCTTTTATATTAGTACACAAATGGAATTTGAAAATAAAATAAAATAAAGCTGGCCCCAAGGTTGTTCTTAAATGAAATAAATATTTTTATATGCAAAATGCTCTCAACATTCACAAGTTGCTAAGTCTTAAAGAGCAACATAATAGGAAAATTATTCACTATTATTAGTGTGGTATGTGGTTATCATTTTGGTTAAAAAGAGAAAGCTCCTGCCAAGCGAGCATGACTCCTGGTGACTTATGTACACATCTATGTGGACAACAATATGGAGGTGGTTGACTGTTGCCTTCTTCTAGGAAAAGTTTTTGACTTCCAGCTGAACTTCCAGCCCTGGGATTGCCTGCTAGTCTCCCATCCAAATGCCAATTAGGACTGACCCCGCTTAACCCTTGCTGAAGCATAGTTTTGTTTAGCTATCTCCTCTTCAAATCTCTTTGCTGTGAATTATGTGGTTTTATTAATTTATACATTGATCATGATTCTCACTTCTTGGAACTTCCCCAAAACTCTGAGTAGCTAGGAAGAATATAGAACAAGCTAGCCTGTCTATAACTATGCAGCTAAGAATATGTTTACCTTTCATTACTAGCTTTGTAATAAAAAACTTACCCTTGGAGCACTTTAAATCACATCTGTCTTAAACTAAATTGGTGCATAAATTCAGCCAGGATACTAATCCTCCTTATTCAGAAGTGAAGTATTTACAAGGGCTAAATTAAATGAATGACTGAAGTGTTTTATTTTCCCAACATTCTTCCCAACAATGTTGTCAAACGGTCAGCCTCAATTAGCAGGAGAGATTGTGATCTACATAGTTCCTCCTTTCCCCCCCCCCCAACCAACTCCTGCTATTACTCTCTTCTACTGCCAAGACATGGGTAAATGCAAAGGAACAATGACCAAAGCATTGTGTATACAAAGAACAATACACTCAGTTATTGCCCATCTATCTATATACTACCAAAACTCTTGTGTCTGTAACCTTCAACTGTGCGAAACAGTGCGTCATGGGGTACCTCAAGGGGCTAACTTATAGAATGCGTCCAAAATCCAGGACTCATTACTCCAGTGGGATGGAAATTTGTGGCCACTTCAGCACTGCTGCATTGCTGTGCCACCGCAGTCACCCAGGGTCACGTGATCATCATGGGCATATCCCCGACCTCTTTCACACCACCCTCTGTCCCCTGTGCCCAATTGGCTGGTAGCAAGGCAGGACTAGTGAGCAGCGATTGGCTACTTTGGAAACAAGGCCGAAATATGAAATCTCTTAATGGCTGTGGGCATGGAGGAAGGATGAAGGAGCGACTTGGATGCCTACTGGCAAGATAGGGCTGGCTGGGGGGGCACCAGTGGTCGACGGAATGGGGGAATGGTGCAGTTTTTCTCACAGTTTGCATCTCCCTTTGCTCTAACTTCCCCCAGCACAGTGCCAGGCAGTTCCACAGGTCAACCGAGGAAGAGGAGGCTTCACTGAGGCTCTCCTGAGGGTAAGGCAAATGGCACAAGCCTGTATTACATGTGGAAAGGAAGGGGAGGGAGGGAGGGAATTTTCTGATGCTCCCTGCCAGGTTCCCACAAGGAAAATCAATGGGGAAGCTGGCAGCAAGTCGTAAGTCGCTCACACTCCCACTGCTTTTTTGTTCTTGGTCATTCTGTTCTTCTGTTTAGGTAAGGAAGTATCTCTGAAACGATAATCCAATGGGTCGTGGGTTGTCACGTAATATATGAAACTTATACTCCTCCAGAGTTGATTTTTAATATTATCTGAAAGTATTAATGATTAAAAATTAACTCTATAAAAGTGCAGGAAAGAAGACACAGCCTAATCCAGAGATCTATGTATCCAAGAAACTCAAGGATCTCTTTCCTAATATCCTCAACAGATCGTTGGAATAGTTAGGAACACCTGGACTCCATTTTCTTATTTTGAAACAGTACTTGGAACTTCATATGTACAGCATCAAATTTTGCTATATATAAATCCTGCAGTCTGTAATAGGAATCAGTCTCACGCTGGATATGAAGAGCATACAACAGCTGTCATGGTCATCAAAGGCATGAGCTTTATTTGGGGCTTAATTAGAAATAAGTTAAAATTCCATCTTAATTCTTGTGAGAAATTGACACTTTGGAACAATTCTTAGTTAAAAACGGCTAATCGCTCTCACTGAGTAAGTAATATACCTCTAAAACTAAAAGAGAATCTAATTTACCAAAAACATCTGAATGGCAATAACATACACAGCCCAAGCATTTGTTATGTTATAACAAAAAATTATGAAAACATACTTAAGAAATGTTAAGTATGTTTATTATTATTTAAAAACCTGATTAGCCCTACAGAATTCACAGGATATGCTCATTATGTCTACCAATCCCAATGCTTTCAGGTACAATGTAATTTATGTTGCAATAGTAATCACAATTTACTTACCTGCACAAAATATTCTTAACTGCTGAATGGGAGAAATTAGTTGTAAGTGGGTAGTGAATAGGTCAACAAATGCTCCGGGATAGACAATAAATATAAAAATTCCAAAGCCATTAAACCGAACTTGCTCTCTAAAAAACAATAGAAAATATTTTTCAAGACTGAATCAATTATTTATAACTGAACAATAAAGCATGCTTCATTGTATCTGCATGGAATTTTACTTTCTATACTGCCTACTACTGTATTGTTATATAGATGAATTAGCATTAATTTAAGAGGAATGTACTTCAGAATAAACAAAAGAATAATTTATTTTTTATTTTATTTTATTTATCAAATTTGTCACTGCCCATCTTGTGAATAATAATTATAACAAGCACATTTTGTGTAGCACTTAATGTTATTTCATTTCAAATATTCAGTGTGCTTCATGTCAATTATCTGACTATAATCTTTACCATAATCTGCAGGCAGAATTATTACCCTTCAGAAGAGGCATGGCTAGAGACTATGATTTGCTTAGGTTTGAGGATCTGAGCAAAGGCCTTCTTGATTTGTTAGTCAGTCTCTGACCACCACCCTACACCAGATCTGTGCAATGAAGGGAAAATAAGCAGTTTAAGCTATGGAAGCAGACAGAAAACTGGGAATTAAAAGATGATTGAAGGAGGACAATGAGGGTTCTGTTTATAGTGAAGTAGCTGTTAGAAAAGAATTTCCGGTCAAATTCTTCTTTATCAGACACCCTGTCTTATCATGGCAATCAACTGAAGCTGGCTTGTACTGGTGGGTCCAGAAGGCAATTCTTCACCCTATCTGTTCTCACTTTCATCATGCTTTTCCCATACAAGAGCCGGTCTTCTCTCCAATTTGTCTCCAAATAGAGGTCTTGATAAAATTTAAAGGCTTACCAGAACACTACTAATTGAACTGCTGCTACAGCTTTTCACAGATTATACAAATATTATGAAAAATAATGGGGTAACATTTGATCAAAACTAGTGTTTGCACTAAGGGTATAAGAACAGCCATGTTTAATAAACAGTGTACAAACAACAAGAAGAACCTCAATATGCCAAATTCTGAAAGCGACCTAGTTGTTAGATATATTAGAGACACCAAAGTACTAATTGACAAGGGAGTAAGCGATGCAGCAACATGTAATGTGAACAATATGTAACTGTGAGCATAACTATATGAATCAAAAATTAGGGTTTTTTTTCCAAGTAATCTTTATTTGATCAGTGACCAGGAAAAAGTAAACAAAAAGACAAACAAAGAAAAATTACAAAGATACCACCCTAGCCCCAAAACATCTCATGCTGGAGAGTAGTGTAAGAGTATATTATGACACTAAAAGTGTAACTCTAAGAGCAAAGTAATTCTCAAGAGTGTAATATTTTTAGCAGTAGTCTATAAGACCAGAGCACAATACAAGTAAAATCAATAAAAAACATTTCCTAAAACCTAAAAAGATAGTATTTTAACAATATAGCTTTAATCTATTTTAAACCACAGCACAATGAAACTGAAGAATAGAAAGTAAATAAAATTAACCCCTCACCAGCCTTTGTCATATTTCCATTGTGGCAACACAAAATGTAGCTACTGATTGAATGATGGAGGGTCTCAAATCTTCTAAAAGGAACTTCACACGCTGCTTATGTAATCTTCCAACATGTTTGTGTAATAGGGGTAAAATAAAATTGGTCCAAATATTCTTGAAAAATTTACAGTGTATTAATATGTGGCTGATTGTTTCTATCTCATTAGCACCATGTGAGCAGGTATGCTCGAATAGGGGAATTTTAGCATATCTGTCTTTCAGTAACGCAGACGGCTGGATTTTAGGTTCAAGCTGAAAGAATGGTTTTATCAGCTTAGGAAAGATAAGTAAACAGTTTGCTGGTCCCCATATATCCTTAGCAACCAAAATTCTACTATTTTGGGACAAACTTATTTACCTCAACCCAATGTTCCATATCATTCATTATTTGGATAAGTGTTTGCTTAGCCTGATTGTATCCCAACTATATTAAAAATGGTGCCAAAAGTCTATATGATGCAAGCTTCTGCTCTACACCAATTTCCAGTCTGAGGGGAAGTCATCAGCAAAAACTAAAGATGGCAAACCTACTGGAAAAAACTGAGTTTTCAGCCAATAATTAGCCATCAACCTCCAAACTCACATCCGGATTTGAGGCATTTCTATTTTCAAACTAACCTGGGCATTTGTTTTCCTGTTAGAGGCACCAGGTATAACTCAAGAATTTCATTTGCATCAACTGCAGTGTTTCCTTCTTGGCATAAATGCCCACCTGCATGCCATATGGAATTTGGACCAAAAACCTGACCTCAAAGTTTTAATACAGCTGGAACTGTCCACCTTTAGCGAAGAAGAAGCACTTAATAGCAGTTGTTGATCTCGAGGCCAGGTGTACCCATACTCATGAAGTATGCTCCAGTTTCTTTGGAGTGGAAAGCCACCCCAAGATTCTCTATCATTTTATCTCCTTCTTGTTTTGCTTTGTTTTTGAGAATTCATTTTCTTGCTTGCTCTTTGGAAGCCCATATACTTTCATATAGGTAAACATGACAAAAACTAAGAAACCATAGAAATTAAAGTTTCTAGCATATGATTTTTTTTCTTGTTACAAAATCAAAAAGTGGATTGCATTACCTAATAGCTGCCACTCCATGGCCAACTTCATGTATAACACCACTGATGAGGATTGCTGTGAAGAAATAGGACAGCTGGCTGATGGGAAGGTTTACACCAGGCACCTGTTTCCAAAGACACAACAAGATGCAGGGCAGCAAGAGATGCAGTGATTGGTCTTTCTGCATTCTGTTAACACAGCTGCCCTAGAAACCACTACAGATTTGCCAATGCTCTTATGAGGAAGTCATTTCCATGAAAAAATTAAGATACAAAAATTATAATCAGACATAATCCCATCATGTTTAGATATGATCCTAGCTGAAGAACTCCTACCTCCAAATCACAAGCGCCAGCGGAGAGACAGGCAGTAACATATCTCATTTTATTTCAAAATAGCTCCTTAAAATGGAAAGCAAAATAGCCTAAATCAGACTTTTCCAACTTTTGTGCCCTCCACAAGTTTTCAGCTATAGCTCAGCCAAAGCCAGCACTGCCAATCCTCATGTATAGCCAGCCAGAACACACACAGGGCACCACACTGGAAAAGTCTATTTAAGATATCCTAAAGAAAGTGCTTCATCCTGGAGAAAATCTATGTGGTTGCTAGCAGCTGACACTACTTGATGGTACAAAATCAATCAAAGAAAGTGCTATTCAGTCCACTGCACTCAATATAGCTGTTTTAGATAGCTATTTACAGATGGAATGAGATTGTTTGTAGATCGAATGAACAGAAAATATGTAAGAGGAATATATTTCAATTTTAATCTGCTACTGTTGATACAATTTTTGTCTTGATGTTATTTGATTGCTATTGCAAATAAAACATTAAGAGCATGTTAATAAAAAATACAACACAAGGAGGGAAAGAGTTTACTCACCTCTCCATAAATATTATCTGATGATGTGTTTACATGGCATACTTGATTGAACATGCTCTCATTTATAAATACAAATATAATTGTATTTAATGTTATATTCAAAGCCAAGCTTGGATTACAATTGTATCGCATCAAGCCCAAAAGAAATCCAATCTGATTTCAGCAGAAAAACTAAAACTTTGGCCTGAAAACAATAAAACTAAACTTACAACTGTCTTTGCTGAATCTAATGATGGAATTACAGGAACTGAAACTAGCCTTTTCTGTGCATTTCTCAGAACAATGCAGTTCTGAAAGTTGCTACTTGAGTTATACATTTTCTTGGTAACTAACAATTCAAAAGTCAACCACCACAAGCAGAAACTAATTCTTCATGAAATACCACTGATAACACTGGAAATGTCATTTCAAAAGACCTCATAATTTTTCTCTAGACCTTGCAATCTAGTAAGACTGACATTGTTGTCTCTTCCCTTGGAGCATGTGTTTGTACTCAAGCTTGAAATCAGCCATTGGTACTGGTTCTACCAGTTAGAACACTGGTAGAAACTTTCAAGTGACCATTAAAAGAAATTAGAAAATTCTTTCTAATTTTGAAAGAAGTTGGCTGGGTTTTTCTTTAAAGCCATTCGTATACTGTATCACCAATGCCTAAGAAATGTATATAGCACTGAGCAACAGAAATTTCTAAGCCTGAAACACCTAAAGATTTATCTGTAGAACTGATTGAAGTGCTTTGCATAAGTTATTAGAATACTTTCTACAACCAAGTTGGCATTTTGTTGGATACCTTGAGGCTTTTTGTTTTGATTTATATACCATTCCTTTTTCCAGGTGTGCAGGGAAACTTAAATGAAGATTTTCTCACTTTATTCAAATTAGGGAACCAAGGATCATGCAGTGATGTAATTCAGACCTCCCCGTTGGGGGAGATGGGCAGCATACAAATTTAATAAATAAATAAATAAATAAATAAATAAATAAATAAATAAATAAAT